GGCAATTTTTTAATATTTTGCATAGTTTCTTTATTCTTCCCCCCCGCACCCCCCCCCCCCCCCCAAACTTACTTGTTTAGCAGTACTTTTGTGGACACAGAAGGGTTTTTTGGTCAAAAAAGTATTAATCAACAAATATTCTGTCCCAATCACTTCTGTACAAACTCCATGATGCAAGACTCTGACTCTGCTGATTAAGTTAAACTGCCCTTGCTGTATGAAAGAACAGTCATTTAATGTTTGTCTATTTCCTCTTCTAAACTTTCTCATAACAGAAGTACAAATGACAAACTATGAAATAAAAATCATACAATGGTTACAGTTGGAAAGGACCTTCAAGATCAACTAGTTCCAACACCCCTGCCATGAGCAGGGACACCTCCCACTCAACCAGGCCATTCAGAGCCCCATCCAATCTAACCTTGAGCACTTCCATGTAGGGGGCATACATGACTTCCCTGGGCAATCTGTTTCAGTGTCTCACCACCCTCAGAATAAAGAATTTCTTCCCAATATCTAACCTAAATCTATCTTCTTTCAGTTTAAAACCATTACCCCTCAAATCTATCACTACACTCCCTGAAAAACAGTCCCTCCCCATCTTTCCTGTAGGCCCCCTCTACGTACTGGGAAGATGCTGTAAGGTCTCCCTGCTATAGGGGTCTCTTACGAGTCAAGGTTCAGTTTAATATAAGGTCCAAGGCTTCCTGGTGCTTCATGTCAAATCAGTCTGACCAGCTGATGAACCTGACTGATCAATCTGATTGATTCTGGTCAGACCAGGACTCTGGATGCTTGAACAGACGTATTGTTTTCTCAGATCTAGAACAATAATTTTCATATTCCTAAATGGAGTATTGCTGTACTGAAGAACTTGCAAGATCTTAATTTTATAGTATCAATTTGGAGAACATCATCATTAGGTTCTTCTTAAATAACACCCTTACCTAGAAACATTTTGCCTTAAGCCCAAAATGACAAGGTTGTACTAGTGTGTTGGCTGTACTGGAGTATAAATTAATGAAGCATGGCAGTTCCTTCCCTGTTGGCTTAGCTTTTGTTTTTAATTTCTAGAAAGCTCTGACCAATTTAAAAAAATACTTACAGAGAGAGAAGGGTCAGCATATGTGGCTCAGTACCAAAGCTTCACATTTACTTTTTCTCACAATTTAAGTCTCTGACATTACACAGCAGACAAATTTGGCAGTTTTCATGGTTGTCAGACGTAAAAATGCCTTATTTCCTGCCAAAAACTATTTTGAAAACGAAAACAAAAAAACCCAACCAAAACAGAAAGGCACTGACTCCTATTACAACTGAAAGTAATTTTACTTGAGTAAGGACAGTAGATTTGTTTCTTAAAAGATGCAGAATAGTGGAGGGGGCAGGGGGAGCAAATAGAAAACAGACAAAAAAAGCCTGAAAAAAAGATATTTTGGTTGCTATTTATTTGCAACATTTTAGCCAGGAGACAGTTTTAATTTTTTGGAGGGGAAGAAAAAACCCATACATTTATGATGCATGCGTTTTAACCTTAGGTTATATTATTACTTCTCTTCTGGTTTTATGCTAGCAACTTCTCTGAAGGAAAAAACATTGCTGTCGGGAACTAAAACTAACTGAAATAATTTGTCTGAACCATTCTTAAAAAGGCATTCACCCTAGATTTTCAAATGTCTAAATCCACCCTTAAATTAAGTAACAGTTTAAGAACCAGTATCAGAGCTATCACAATGTAATAGGGTAAAAATTTTTGAACAACTGTTTTAAAGATCCTTATAGCAATTATTTTCTTCTCATCAGAGGTTCCTAAAGCTCTCAAGAGAACAACATCACAGGATCTGACACTTCTGACATGGAGGGAAACAGTCTTTTCTATATCTTAAAAATGCAAAAGAAAGTAAATCTCTATTAACATTTTACTTACCACACTAAATATAGTAATGACACAAGACAATTCCTAAAACAAAATAAAGGTGTGTTGTGGAAGACCTTTTGATAGTAGATACAAGAGTTTTTTCCTCAAAAAAAACCCAACTTCCCTTTTAATAAAGTTTCGGTTTAGTGCGTTGCATTGTACAAAGATCTTTTGAGACATCAGACTTGGGTTCTAGCTTTTATGTGCCTTTCAATAAATAAGCACAAGTAATTCTCTTATTGAGACTTTCCAATTTTGGTTAAGCTTATCTATTGACAATTATACAATGCCCACAAAATACAGCTGCAGATGTCTTAAAAGACAAAATTAAGTCTCGAGAGCATACATGTTACAGGTATCTCCTGGATCTGACCTTTTGTACCATGAACTATAGAGCTACAAATAAAAAGTTTATTCAGTTTTAGTGACACAAAGGGATTATTAGAAGGCTCTCTCTTAAGTGAAACAAAAAGGTGTTTTCTTATATTATGTGATCTTCTGTTTGTGTATATATATATAAGAAAGTTTCTTGCTTTGCATTTTACTCTAATGCATCTCAAACAGGAGATCATAAACTTTATAAAACCCTCACTCAGACTTGCTTAAAGCTTATGCCTAAGAAGACTCGCTTTTGCAAGTATTTCCATTCAAGTTACAGGGAATATTTTCTTGCCTAATTTAACCGTGAAATGAAATCTTTACATGTCTGGGGCCTTAGTCACCTACTGGAGAAGGCTGAGAACTGAGCTAAGGAAAAAATATAAGGCAATCCATTATTTATTTTTTTTTATTTTTACCTCAAAGCATGAGATTACTAGCAGCTACGTGCTACCAGACTTACTCTGAAAAAATTATGAGAACAAATATTAGCAGGTAGTCAGCTGTAATACCAAGGCACAGTTCAGGAGATGTCTTCCTTCCAAGATTTAGCACTTGTCACTTCTAAGAGGATTGTACCAATGAACTAATGAGGTTATCAGAGTACATCAACCACACAAAGACACAGAAATATACTCACCTCTAACTTCATCAGTTATTTGATTATTTCTTAATAAAGATTCATTACCGCAACCTTGTCTCGCAGCTCAGGAAAATACTACTTCCCCTTTTCAGACAGCTAACTGAAGTGAAGGGGAAAATTGCAGTAGCTTATGATTGGCCACAAAGTTCATTGTGGTGGCCAAGAACGGAATTCGGGAATCTTGGTTTACAGCCACTAAGTGAAATATTGTTTCTAGCAAAGCCAAACAAAATTCCAATGGACTTCAGAGGAGTCATGATTCCACAACAAATTAGATAAATGGTCTCTAACATGAATACTGAAGTACACATATGCTTAACTTACAAAAGAAAAAAGGGAAATTCCAGTAGCTATAGTTAACTCATATTTCCCGAAGATTTTACAGAGTCCTTCTCAAAAGGCTTAAGGAAATTAAGCAGCTATAGGATATGATCCTCAAATGGATAAATAGCTTGTTAAGATAGAAACAGAGTTACAGTAAATGGTATGTTTTCACTGAGGGAAGTTTCCACAGGATATATGCTGGGATCACTTATGTTCAACATATTCACAAACAACAAAATAAAGAGGTTACAAAGTTTGCTGATTATATTAGTTTACAGAATGCAGAGCAGACCTTATGAGACAGTGGAAGCATTACAATGCACATGCTACAAAACAGCAGCTGAAACCCAATGAAAAAAGACATGACGCACACAGGCAAAACCTTAAATTCACAGATAACTAAATTCAAACTGACTGCTAACCCTAAAGCATTAAATCACAGGACTTTAATAGGCAGAACAATGAAAACCTTAGCTTGATACTTAGTAGGAGTTATGCAGGAAACAGAATCATATGGAAGAAATACAACACAAGTGGGAGTACAGCATTACGCCACAGTGCATTTACGTCCTGAACACTGCACGTAACAAAGATGATGTTCACTCGTGACTGGTAGTGAAACCAAAGAGATTCATTGAAGACTAACAAGAACAGCCAAAGATACATGCAGGAAATTTAAACACGCTAGGACTTTTCAGCCTGGAAAAGAGGCAAAAGAGCAGTGATGATGAAGATCTGCACGGTCAGGAGAATTGGAGAAAACTGCTTGTTCCCTCTTTCAATGCAAGAGCTACAGCGATTCGAATGAAGTTACCATGTTAAAAGCAAAACAGCAAGGAAATGGTTCTTTGCATGATGTGAGGCTAAATCACTGAACTCGCTTTGTCGTAACTGTTGCAGATACACAAACTGACTTTCACACTAGTTCAAGGAAGAGCAACACTCAGTGACTTTCTCAATACTTAGGAAACACTTCTGATAGGAAAGTCTCCATGCTGAAATTCTCAGCGCCTGGGAAAGTAACAAAGGAGCATCTTGTTACATGTACCCTCTTCGAGCACACTCCCCTTTAGGCATTCATTCGTAGTGTTCAGCATGGGATGCTAAGTCTAAGGGTTCATCTAGCAATGTATGATTAGTTACACATACAGCAGCATCTCCAAATTCATGGATTTAAGCGCGTATTTGTGAAAAGGGCATTCCTCATACCACTCAACCTAGATCTTAGCGTGCAAAAATGTTTATCTCTAATCATACTCTAAATATTCTATAGTCTCAAAAGAAGTTTTTGGGTTTGTTTGGTTGGTTGGGTTTTTTTTTCAACTTACCTATGAGGTCTGTAGGCCCAGTCCCCAGATTTTCTCCTCTGATTGTCACTTTTGTCCATGAGATGCCTTCATTGGGAGAGATGCCAGTTACAAGTGGAGGTTGCCGTGCTCGAGACATGATGTCTATTCAGTTAGTGAAAACTGAGTTGCTTTTATCTGTTCAGGAAGAAACAGTGATTAAAAAGGAATAATTATATTACGTAAAAAAAAATAATATTAAAAACCTTTTAGGCTGTTCTTCTAAAATTGTAGAGAAACACAAATGTAAATATGGAGTATCAGTCTCAAAGACTTTTTTGCTACAGCCATAAAACAATAAAGAATATAGTTCTGAACTGTAAAGAAAAAGTATATTCAGAAAAATATTAAGCCCTCAAAATGCTTAATGAAACTATACACACACACTCCAAATCACTTATGTCAGAATTCAAACGAGTCTGTTCAATCCTCTACTAGGAAGTTATTATTGTGTTCCTTAGAAGATTTAGAATTGCTAAGCTAAGTAACAGGCTATGATTACATACTGGGATAACTTCCCAATCAAAATTAGACTTACTGGCACAGACAGCCCCATGAGAAGAAGCCCCCAGCACTTATTTGTATAAAGCATCAACATTTACATAAACTGAAAAAAAATTAAAACATTACTTACACTACACTAGCAGAGAAAATCAACAAAACAAATACTATCCCCCCAGAGCAATAAAAACGTATATAAAATGATCAAAGCAGCACTTCCAGAAGAGTATTCCTTCACACTTAAAATTAGGAGTCAACTCAAACCAGTTTAATTAGCTCTGTAATACCAACACCAATATGGTACGCATGTTATGCGGCATACATTTAGTTTACTGTGCAACTGATCACAAATTCCTATGGTTTATTAGCAGCTCTGCAGCTGTAAGAAGCAGATGAGTACAACCTGAAGCAGATTAGGTCCCACCAACTTCAAATTTACAACACTTCCTAAACATAGAGCCTGTGCATAAGCACACAGGTCCTACAGTAGTCATAAAAGACAAAAAAAGTTTCTTTTAAGGATTTCCACGGGAATTTTGCATCACCCATTCCATTTCATGACTCCTGAATTCTTCTACTAAGACAATAACATCCTTAAAACTCCCAGTAAAAAAAATTTAATTTGGTATTCTGAAACTTCTCAAAATTAGCTATGCTCAGCTTCTAATAGGAATTCATCTGCATTGGAAAGGTAAGAACCAAAAATAACCTATAGGAAGAAATGTTTTTATTTTTAAGAAAATCCAGGAATGATAAAACAGGTCAATATTCAAAAATCTTAGGTACATACATAGAACACTAGTGTACACAATTTTTAGAGTTCAGGTTGGTAAAAAATATGTGGAATATAATACAAGCTTCATAAGACCTCTCTTACCTATTTTTATTTTGGATCAAGGTATATTTTCTATTTTTACTTGCAAATAGTCAAGTCCATGAAACCTACAACCTCCAAAAATTATCCCTAACAATGCTGTAAATGCTTTACTGCAGTAAAGCTGCAGTTTCCAAGCATCTGCAGTTAGGAAATACCAGAATTAAGTAATATATTTGTTTCAGCCACTTCTACATATAAAAAATACATTCATTGTACCATCATACACCATGCTTCTACACAACCTCCCCAAATTTTTCAGTGTTACTAGACAGATATGTCACAAGGACCAAAGAAACTCCAACTGACCAGTTTCTTTCTTCATATTCTGAAGTTGGAACGCACACTGAACATGAAGATGGAAATCAGAAAGGAGGAAGATCTCATGGTGAAATTAATCAAATTCTGTCCCCGGAACAGGATCCTGTCTCTGTCTATACTACAGATGCATAGCAGATCACTTATAATAAATCTTTACAGTAACATTTTTTTCTTCTCAGTTTCTGGGTATCCAAATTTAGAGCCCAAGCCATACCCAAAGGGAGTGTGAAACGTACCCTGAATATAAGGAACGCTGCACAATGCTTGGAAACATTCAGGTCCTAAATAACCGCCTCAAATCTATAAAATAACCACCTCAAATCCATAAATCGATTTGATCTTAAATGTCTGTTTCTCATTTTCACATATTTAAAAGAGAAATGCTATCACACATCACAACAGCTACTTTGAAGACAAATTCATGAATATGAAAGAGGCATTTAGATACTCTGAACGCCACAGTTAGAGAACTGGAGACTACTTTTGAAGAGTGTGCAATTAGTAAGAGATGCAGATTTCTGTTGAATGAGCAAAAACATAGTAAGTTGCACTATGAGGGCCATGTCCAGTACACAAAGGCAATCTAGTAAGAGTCCATGATAACCCACACAACATATATCCGGAACTTAAGGGTGTTTGTTTTGGTTTTGTGTTTTTAACTGGCAAATTTCTTGACTGGTTGACTTCACAACATTAAAAATTACATTATGTTTTTAATAAAACATTCATTTCCCAGTTTTTTTGAAAATAACACAGTGATGAAAAAGGAGTTAAGTTATACAGTATCATATGGATGCTCTTACAAGTCCGTATGTGAAATACTAGAACCTTTGACAGGAACCCAACATGAGGGAAGTGAGTAGTCAATAGTTGCAGTCTATAACCTTGTGGGTAGAACAGCACTGAAGAAGAAACCAGCTGAGAGCCATCTCCAGCTATGAAAGAGAAGGTTATGCTCTGGCAGGCAGAGTCCCCTCCTTCATGCCCTACTCCTATTCCTTTCCCAGCACTTTTCCCCCCCTCACACAGAGACAGTCTCTGCCTCTCTTCAAAACTGATGCCAGGTCCTGGTCTTGCAGCCAAACTATCTCCTGCCTCTATCCTGATGATTTTCCCTCTGACTTCTTATCCATAAGTTCAAGCAGGGAGGGAGAGGGGAATTAATACCCCAATTCTCCTTTCAAACCCAGACACTTTGGTAACTCCTCTTCATTACCTCCCGTTCCTTATCCTGAGCTGCCTTCTCGAGGTAGCCCACCTGCACTACAATTGATCCACTTAGTCGCCACAGGTGAGAGTGACAGACTCGGTCTTCTGTCAAGATGTCTGGTCCTGAAGTCACAAGGCTTGTCCAGCTCTCCTCTCATCTGCGCTGTATTCAAAGCCACACTACCACAGCATCACCTGACAATGCAACAGGCAGCTCAATAGAAATAAGCTTCCCAGTTCCCACTGTTAAATTAAATAGTACCTGGAGCGATCAGAATATGAAATTGCAGGGAGAGTCTTGTTTATTCCTACACAATTACAAGATGTATATATACATACAGAAGTTCAGACCTCTCAGAAATTGATATTTCCTCTGGAGCTCTGTGAAAAGAGGATGTTGGAGAAGAACCAGGTGCCTAAGTTTACCTAGAGCAAGGAGGACAACCTGCATCTATTCCTTACAATCTTATCTATGCAGTCTTTGTAGCTTTTCTGATAGATCCTCAGCAGAGCCCAAAGATATACAACAGCTTTAAAGAACAGTGGGGTTATGTCCCAAAGTTCACACCAAGCCACCTTCTGCAGAAAGCAGCACGTGTCTAGATACCAGTAATACAACATAAAACACCTCTTTTCCTTTTGAGCAATTTTTGTAAAGATTTATATACAATGTTAATCAGTAACACAGACATAAAAAAAAGCCATCTTCAGGAACTCAGTGGTAGTACGGAGAGGAAGAAACACTGAGGAAAATAAGTAAAATAGAAGCTATTTCGGTATTATTTGGTTGATCCCCTCTTCTCATCCCCCCCCCCCCCCCAAATTATTTGTTTCCTTTAA